GTTGTGTTTGTGTTTTCAAAAGTTTTCAGACCTCGTAACAATAACCCTGCTACTCAACAGAATCTGCAGAAAGTTCTGAAGCGGCTGGGAAATAGTATTGGTCAAGATAAAATTTTTCGCTGTGACAAAAGGGAAAATCGTATGACATGTGAGAATTGTTTCAATGGAGGAAATGTTAAAAAATGGTGTTATACGGATAATTCAAAGCTTGACAAATAAGGAGAATAATGGAAACTATGGCAAACCTATGATTTCTTACACAATAGCTTTGCAGCAATATTAGATATATTTTCTAATTAAAAATTAAGCATTTATTCAGCAGCCAAGCTTCATATGAATGTAAGTCAAGCAGGATTCATATTCCCTCAGTTTCAAATTCATAACAATTGGAAATCAACAGAAAAACTAAGAATTGTAAATCATGATGCATGTTTGTTAAACACATTCATATCTATAACATTGTAGTCCTTGTTTTGCTCTCTTGACTTATTGATACATGTGATGTGGATAGAACCAAATTTTTGAACAACATAAATGTGAAACATATCAACCCTGCTTATCTATAATATTAAAGTTTGTTTGATGATCTAAAGTATTCAGGGAGAAACTAAAGACAACTTTATTGGAACAAATACTTTTCCCCAGCACTGTAAATATATATAAAGCAATTATGTGTACTTTTAAACAAAATGGGTTTAAATGGGTTTGGATCAAGTAAGTGAAACTGTCTGTATAAAATAAACCAGGCTATCTAGATTAATTAACTTTGAAAAAAATTACAGAGTTGCTATTATCAAAATTTTAATTCAGAGGTTTGCAATTGTTTAATATCAATTCGTTTATTTTTTTCTTGATTTTATTTTAGAAAGCATTGTAATTTCTTGATTGTGGCCTAAAAACTACGCTTAGCTCAGCATTGATTTTTTGTTGTGCTTATCCTTTGAAAAAGTCAGAATCTTCCAGTTTAGACCAAAAAGTAAGAGAGAGAAAAAAAATAAAAAATATAAATTTTTAAGCTAGAGGGGTGAGATTTTTTTTTTTATATTTCTCAGTTTCTTTCTACTTTTTGTTTCAATTCTGTCTTTTTCATTTGTGTTTTTCAAATGTGCCTTCATTTTACTTAATCAGCCTTTGTTCCAGCTGTGTTTGTGTTTAACAAATTAAAGTAATAGTGCGTTGTTATGTCGTCATTCTAGAAATAAATGTTTAGTTATTTTGCTTTCTGTAGCATTGCTTATCAATCTTAAAAGGCTAAAACATAAAAACTGATTAAAAAAGTCGATCAATACCAGGCTTATAGAGTAAAACCCGCATGCATGTTTAATGACCATAAACAGCAGTGATTTTCAACATTTCAGAACATCGCAAAATGTAATGAAACATTTCTCAAAAACTTTTGTTGCTCAAAAGACTTTTGGTTTCAGAAATTGTGTTACTCTCTATGTTTTACCAGATTTAGAGCTGAGACAGATAACAAACCTCTTGTTCCAACATTAAGTACAAAATCAATGGATGTGCTGCCCCCTGAATTCTGAGGGTCAGACTGAGACGTACAAAATTCGACTGCAGAGGCTGGCATAGAATCAGAAGACCTGTCTAAGAAAGTCCACTGGAAAGAATGTCAGTATTTTCCCCTGGCTGGTGATATTCTGGAAGGACCGAGGTTTCTCACGGCTAAATGAGACTTTTTTTCCTAAACTGTCACTGGATGAACTGCATGTGATCAAATACTCATCCAGGAGAAGTTAATTCTGCAAGTTTATGACTTGATGAATCAGCTTGATTTTCTAATTTAGAAAATTTGTAATTTCTCTCTATGGTTTGAATGAATTGTCTCTAAAGTATCATGACATCTATTGTTTACTGTATAAATAAAACTGCTTTGAATTGAATAGAATAAAACAAGGGTGGTGCAGTTTCTATTTTTTTTATTTATTCATTTTTTGGTTTATTTTTCCGGGGACAGTACATATTAGTGAACATTTCTGTAAATATGTCAGATTAGTATTAATATGAAGCTGATTTTCAACTGTTATCCTGGGGCAATTAGAAAACAAACAAAAAAAAATATATATATATATGCTAAATACTTACAATGGCAGGTCATACAGTTCAAACCAATATTACAAAGTAATATCTGACCCTGACATTTGGCTGAGTCATGCACCAGGAGATTGTTAAAGGAATAGTACACCCAAAACATGATTAGCCTTCATTTTCTACTCACCCCCATGCTGAACAACACTCTGGAGTACTTTTTTGATATCTCAAATGCATCTGGAGATCTGGGAGGCTTCTTGCTGTCTGCTGACATTCAAATAATGGAGGTCTATGGCGCCCGAGGCAGAAAGGTCCATAAAAGTCCACAAAAAACGTGTCAATATTCCTCCATACTGCTCGTCGAATGTATTCCAAGTGTCCTGAGTGGGTAGCGTCCAGAATTTACTCGAAACAAAGTCATTTAGAATGTTTTTAGAGCATAAACAGTAGTGCACAATTACCCCCCGTTGTCCCTACAAGATCGCAGACACATCCTATAATTCCTTCAGGGAAAAAAAAATATTTCAATGTTTTGCTTTTTGTGATTACATCCATATGTCTGTATGAACAACATAAAGGTATAGATGAAGATCTTTTATTCTGGGTGGATTATCTAAATAGGTGGTCCTTCTAATTGTCAGTGATTCTGGTGATACGTTTACGTAAATCCATCCTACCTGTCCGCCCTGTTAGCTATCTTTTTCTGCACACGCGCACTTTCAGGCGTTTATGTGTAATGAGCTACGGTTTCAGACCATCATTAAAGCTCACCTTTTTCACCGTAGTTCTTTGAAAATGGCCGAGGCTCGTAAGAGAAAAAGTGTCTATGAAGTGTTTGAGAAGAAAAGACATATTGAAAATAGACTGCTTTATTAAAGATAATTTTCAACCATTAAAATAATTTGTTCTATCCAGATAATTTCTTAGTGGTTGGATTCTGTGCTGCACCAACTTGTTGTTCACTAGACACCAAAAATAAAAACTTTAAGTTATTAATTTTACACTGTTGCCATTAGTCATAAAAATAAGAAAATTAAGGAGGAAATAATCATCCAGAATTGTAGGAAAAAAAATCCTTTGATAAGCTAGAGCAGTAAAGCAGCTGTCTTTAACATTTTTCCTCCATTACATTTACTTGTATATTTTTAGACTCACACCACCCACAGGAACACAAACTTTTAGTCATCAGAACCTTACAACATCGCACTGAGCACGTCCCTACTAAAACAGAAGGAAAGCACAAAGAACAGAAACACATCAAAGATGCTCTTCAAACCTGTGGATACACAAACTGGACAAAAACTTTATCAAATCAGCAAGGAAAACAAACGGAGACACAGCAGAACATAACGGTGAGAAGATCAAACGGCAAAACATCACCATCCTATATAATGCTGGAGTCTGTCAAAAACACTCGAGAGGATCTTCTCCAAACACAAAGTCCCACTAAATTTCAAACCTAACAAGACCCTTAGACAGAGGCTAGTGCATCCTAAAAACAAAACCCCCAGACCTAAGATGAGCGGAGTGGTGTCTGCAGTTCAGCGCAGTGAGGAATGCTCTGATCCTTATATTGGAGAAACCAAACACAGAAGAGCGCCCTCCTCTGGACAAGACTCTGCTGTATATCTACACCTTAAGGACAAAAGACATTTATTTGAGGACCAGAATGTTCATATTTTTGATAAAGAAGACAGGGGGTTTGAGAGGGGCATGAAGGAATGCATCTATGTTAAGGAAGAAAAACCAACCTTAAACAGAGGGCGTGGACTCAGATTCAGGTTTCAAAAAACCTACAATGCAGCAATTGAGTTGATTCCTTCCTGCTATCATCGTAACCCCAACTCCTGTACAGGAGAGTAGAAGGCTTCACCTATTCAGCCAGGCCAGCAATTCCCTTTAATGACCCCCTTTCAGACACCTAGATGGGGTATCTAACAAAAGAAGCCAAACGACCCCCATTCCAAAGGGGTGGACCCGTTCACCTGTTTCAATTTGCATACTTTCTAAGCAAAAACAATACTTTGTTGGGCTGCTGGATAAAGCCTAGAACCAAACTCCATTTCTGACATTTTGAATTTAAAAAGCTTCCTGGATGGGAAGCAAAACATCTTCAAGCTTGGAAACAAAGATCAGTAGACTGTTTTTAGTTTTCTTTTTTTGGAATATATGTTAGATCTGTCCAGGGTGTACCCTGCCTCTCGCCCGTACATCCCACTTAGGATAAGCTTGACAGAAAAAAGTCAAGGTTAGGCTGAAGTTTGAGGACCCAAATGCAGAGGCAGGGAGGCAGAGGTGAGTTCTTGCAGTTTTAATTGAATGATCACATTTTACAGAGGCAGGAATCTAAAAATCCAACTTAAAATGTTTTACTAACCAGAACCATGGAGAAACCAGGGAAAACAAGCCCGATGAGCCAGAGAAAAATTAGGAGAGATTAGGAACCAGCCGTGAGGAACTGCACAGGGAGAGTATTTATGGCTGACTGCAGAAAGGCAGGACTAACGAGCTGGTTGGGAGCAGGTGTGAGCAGGACCAATTGGGAAGAAGGGAAAAACAGGCACAAGGGGGTAACAGAGGATAATTATAGAACTCAGCACTTAAAGAAATAAACTACAAATACAGAACACTAATAAACTTAAAAAGAAACCCAAGCAGAGGGCAGAAGCCTGACAGAAAATGGATGATGGAGTATATTTTAAGTAGTTTTAAAAATGGTACTTTTACACCTGAGTACACTCACTTGAATAAACAGCTTAAGTTGATAACTTGAAGTTTTTTTAAACGTTAGCATTTTGATCTACTTGAGTAATATACATGAATACTTTTGACACCTCTACTGATTATCCTTTCATGCTTTTAAAAGTCGGGTCGCAGTAAAGCCTATACAAATACAACTCCCACAATGCAATGCATCCTCTGTGTCCACGTGACGCGCTCCCCGCCTCTCACGGGAATCACACGCCAACATGGCGGATGTGGAAGTCGCTAAATCTCTAAGCGGTCTGTTAAATGGAATAGCTCAAATGGTGTATTACAACAAAAGCGAAATTACTGAGGAGTTGCTGAAAAATGAGCTGTATGCGGAAATGCCGCAGGAGGAATTCAAGAGTTTGTACGAAAAAATGAAAGGGCTGATAAAGGTAGGAAAAAACATCTTTCTTCCCTGCTTGCAGATACAACCAGCCTAAAGTAGGTATGAAGATGGGTATGAAACGAAGCTGGAGGCATTCATGTTCGAAAAACTCGAATATAAATGCTAACGAAATTAGCACTTTGCATGATTTTAGGGGCTAAGCTAAGGCTGAGTGTTTTTCTGTAAAAGTCAGTGACTGAGCTCAGATTTTACTGCAAACTCTTCTCTGTAGGCCTGCTAATTGATGTTTAAGTTTGTTAAAAATGCACATAGAGCCTCCTTCGTTATGCTATTTGTAAATAGACACCAACATAATGAATTTATTTGAGCGTTTCCCTGCTAAGTATATCAGTTTTGGCCAGCAGGGGGCAGCATTGCCTGCTTATTATCACAGCAACAGTTTTTCAGACTTTCTTTAAAAATGATGTCAATTATGTGTGGAACCGTAGTTTATCTTTTACTTTAGCACGTAATGATTTCAATAAAATAGTTTCAATAAGAAAGTTACTTTGCATTTAAAAACAAATACGAAGTGTCACTCAAACAGTTGAAGTCATTCAGAAGTAACATGTAAAGGATGGAAGTTAATTTACTGCAAGATTTCTACAAGTTTTTTAAATTTGCATCTTTATTCATTTGAAATGTAAGATATTTACCTTAAGGCAAGATTTCTCTTTGTTTTTCTGCATCAAAAATTAGGGCTGATTGATTTTGCCAAAAATTTAATTATTTTCAACCATAATTGCAATGTTATTTTTAGATTAGATTAGATGAGCTTTATTGATCTCACAGCGGAGAAATTCACTCGTCACATATTGGCATAGTAGTTAAAGAAGGTGCGAACAAGGATGAAAAAGGTGCATTAAGAAGAATAAACAAAAAATATATATATATATATACAGTATATCCAGGTATATACAGTATATCAAGATAAATAAGGATTAAGGTTTATATACAGGTGAATTTACTTTTACGTTAAAGGAATAGTACACCCAAAACATGATTAGCCTTCATTTTCTACTCACCCCCATGCTGAACAACACTCTGGAGTACTTTTTTGATATCTCAAATGCATCTGGAGATCTGGGAGGCTTCTTGCTGTCTGCTGACATTCAAATAATGGAGGTCTATGGCGCCCGAGGCAGAAAGGTCCATAAAAGTCCACAAAAAACGTGTCAATATTCCTCCATACTGCTCGTCCAATGTATTCCAAGTGTCCTGAGTGGGTAGCATCCAGAATTTACTCGAAACAAAGTCATTTAGAATGTTTTTGGAGCATAAACAGTAGTGTATAGGATTTCCTAAAAGCGCGTTCACGAGTCTACGGAAACCGCGGCAGACCAAACCAGATGAAAGTGCGCATTCAGCGTCTGCTCTGCCGATAATGCAAGCGTAGAAGAAGAAATGTGCTGTTTACCTGTGCAAAGAAAGAAACAACGAAAGAAAAATGTCTGAGGACTCCAGTGTTGAGGAAGAGCATGAGTTCTTTGCCGAGCTGAATGCGCACTTTCATCTGGTTTGGTCTGCCGCGGTTTCCGTAGACTCGTGAACGCGCTTTTAGGAAATCCATACACTACTGTTTATGCTCTTAAAACATTCTAAATGACTTTGTTTCGAGTAAATTATGGATGCTACCCACTCAGGACACTTGGAATACATTGGACGAGCAGTATGGAGGAATATTGACACGTTTTTTGTGGACTTTTATGGACCTTTCTGTCTCGGGCGCCATAGACCTCCATTATTTGAATGTCAGCAGACAGCAAGAAGCCTCCCAGATCTCCAGATGCATTTGAGATATCAAAAAAGTACTCCAGAGTGTTGTTCAGCATGGGGGTGAGTAGAAAATGAAGGCTAATCATGTTTTGGGTGTACTATTCCTTTAAGGTGTATTAGGTAAGGAACAATGGTGAGGTAGTGGTATGACTATTCTATTCACATATATTGCACATTCAGCATATTGCAAAGAATATTGCACAGTCAATAAATATAAAACTATAGTTGCACAGTGGTTTTTACAGCAGTTATTGTGGTTATAGTGCAGTATTATAGTCTGGTGGCAGCAGGAATGAATGACCTGTGGTAGCGCTCCTTTTTACAGACAGGGTGTCTAAGTCTTTGACTAAAGGAGCTCTTTATTTTTTTATTATACTGTCACAAGTACAGCACAACGAAATTAACTCTTAACTGCCATTGTGGGATTCTTGTCTGGCAGTGTGGGGTTAAGGGTCATTAGCTCAGGGACCCAGAGTGGCAGTCTGCGGGAGTGGGTTTCAAACTCACAACCTCTATGCTCTAACTACTAGGCCGCCACTCCCCTAAGGCACTAATTTTTTTCTAAGTTTTGGACTAATCCCATAGCCTAATAAACCAGACTAAATGTGATTTTTAAATGTGTAATTTTATCTGGCCTCGATGAATGAGACATCGGAAGATTGTTGATGAGAACAACCCGTTGTTTTTCAAACCCATGTCTGTGCCTATTGGCCAACGCTCTGACCAATGAGCGCAACTAACTGTGGAAGCGTGACAGGAAGCTGGTGGGGGAATGTAAACAAACAGCCTGACGCTTAAACGGCGAATACGTCCTTCTTAAAAATGAATGAGCGTAGAGCCTCTTCCTGCGCGCTTTTTAACGAAAACCTAAAGTAATCCTTCCAAAACTGATTCCACAGCTGAGTCAAACGAAAACTGTTCAATAGTTGTTGCTAGTGATGGTGAGATGAAGCCTCATGAGGCATTGAACCGTTTGGCCAAATTGCTTCAACGATCCCCACAGTTCATGAGGCTTCATGTGAACATGTCACCACCTACTGGTGGACAACAGAACTACAGTTTGTAATAAAATCTGTGATTTTTTTTGCTGTAGTTTTTTTTTTTCCCCTTTTAAGTTCCCTTGAAATTGTTAATGGTTGGTGTGTATAAGAAATTTTTTATAAGTTTTTTTTTAACAGTAAAATTTCTTAGAACAATCATTCAAGGTGCACAGTTTTTCTGCCATTTTAGTGAAATAAACTCAAGCAGACAGTAAAAGTGTGCAAATTGGGCAATGATGAACAAAATGAAAGGTGTTAGTCAATTTTATTCAAACATGATAGTTTTTCCATGTTTTTTTGTTTTAATCAGGTTGAAAGTTGTGTTCAACCAATCTTTTTACTAAATCGACCTAATTTTCCCAATCTATATTTTTACTCGGGCAAAACAATGCAAATTAGTCTCATCAGCCAAAATAATTAAGTTTAATCGCAACTTTCAATAGAGACAGACAGGTCTTGAACCATCAACCTCTAGCGTGAGAGTCTGGCCCTTACAGCGGACGCCACTCATGTAGATGACCTGAATTAGGAGAAAATACTTATTACCACTGACGTATGTCTGGTGGTTTGCTCAGATTTCGATCATTACATTGTTTATTTAGACCAAATTAGCTTTAAGCAACTAGATTGGTTGGAAAAACAACCAATTTATTCTTAGAATCTATCCAAACTTTATCCAGCTGACAGCAGCTCTCCTCCAAACTCCCACATCTTGACTAGGGATGGGGATCGAAACC